ACCGACAAAGCCCAAATTTTACGTGGAACGAGTTGAGATTATAGGTGACCTAAATCCACGAGATGGGTACGGGGGCCCTTACCGTCTAGGAGGAGAAGCGGTAATGGTAGACGTCCGGCGGAGCCGGCGGAACGATCCGGACGGGACCGAAACCATGTGTACCGCCAGCGCTAACCCTGGTGGTACAATAACAGTGCCCCTGCATCAATCATCAATCCTTTTTACTTGAATCCTCTTCTACACTGATCAGCCCACTCTTAACTTTATTCCATTCTACATATCAGATATTATACAAATTTTTATCTTAAACAGAAACATAAAGATGATTCCATATCTTAACATGGCAGCATACCACAAGAAAACCACTTTGAATATTAACCAGAGTTGCTTACTTCACTTTAGTCACATAGAGACAGAGCCCCTTGAAGGTCATCTTGTAAATATTAAATGTAACCATAAAATAAAAGGTATCTTAAAACGTTAAAGTTTTGTAAGGAACCATTCCCACAGATATTTGGATCGATCTATCTCCCTAGGGAATCTTACTAAATTGCTATCAGTTTAACCAAGGACGTATATTCAATATACGTCCTTGGTTTAACCAGCTAAAATGTCTGTCACAGTAAAGCTTTTAGGGGGTAATTATCTTTACCCCCTAGCTGATTCGGTAGGCGTGGCAGATATTAAAGCCGGTTAGTTGATAGTAATTTAGCGAGACTCCCCAGGGAGTTAGACCGATCTAGATGGATCGATCTAGGCATGGGAACCAAGTCTAAATCTATTGCAAACTTTAAAAGTAGGGATTCAAGTTATCTTGTATAAGAAATAAATAAATTACATTGAAAACACATCTATAAAGATCAACCATGAGTTTTTTTCTTCTTGTTACATAATCTTCCTGATGTTAACCTTTATGATGCACTTTCAACTCCGCATGCCTTTTACTTATAGCCTACATCACATATCCTAGTAGTTTATTATTCTTATTTTGGTCACAGAAGAAGGCACCCAAGCCCAAAGTTTGGGGACTCTCGTAGTTGATCTTCATAGATGCACTTAAAATGTTATTTATCTCAACTTTTTAAAGAAGTAAAATGTTAGTCATCAAAAAATTGACAAGAAATGCCATATATTGTTTTTGTACGGAGAAATTTTCCCAATCCTTAATGGAAAGCTGAATTGTTTTAGATATCAGTAGTTAGTTAGCAAGAACAGCTTTCAAACATATCTTGAATTTTTTTTACTCATCTCAAAATATCCAAGTGAAAGCAGGAAATAACAGTAGACTTACCATTTCCGGCACTCCTCCAGATAATGCTGCATTACAAAGGCTGGCATCCAAGTCTACATTTCGCTTCCAAGTATGAATTACTGCAAACTTTGAAAGAAAATTGAAAATTTCTACTTAATGTTTTCTGAACAATATTACAATCCAATAAAGTAGAAACAAAAAATGACACAAATACTTAATCTGAACGGTGATAAAAAGCATCAGTCTTCAATCTAGATTAATATCAAATTGATGGAGAATATACCTACCAAATGGAAAAATCTGCACAAAACAAAAACCAAAGATTGAGATTTCCACTGTGTTTTTCACTTTGAATCAATTATGATCAAAACCAATGCTGATGGCAGTCATTTATTTTAAAACTATGCATCATATAACAGTTAAGAAAAATACTATATCTTTTATTCATTTTCACACAAAACTTAATTTGACCGATTTAACAAAGTTTAAAATTGACTTGAGGGATTTAGCCCATGTGGACTAATCAGTGAACTTATGACTCATGTGAAAGGATCCATGACAAATCTTTGCCATATAGTTGTATTAGTTTGGTTAGGTGCATTGCCATTCATCTTTGTCCACATGTACTTTACTAAGCAGTTTTTAAATCTATGTAAAGCGATCGTTACAAATTTAATTAGGTCTTTGTCATAACTGTTGTTTTATTTCATCTCTTTCCTTCCAATCTCAGATTCATAATCCAGACTATCAGAAAAGTCATCATATGGTTATCATAAGAATGTTTCATCCTGCTACAGCATAACAACAAATCTAACTGTAGTGTATTTTTTAACTTCGTCATTTTCCTTTCTTTTCTTTCTGAAATTGAAATAAAACCTATTAAAATTAACAAAGAAGACAAAAAGCATATTTCTTACTATTACATTGCTAAACATCAAATAAGAAATAAAAAATAGATAATAATATAATATTCCCACACTCAAAGAGCACAGTTATTATAGAAATACAGCTGGATGCAAGGTGAAAATTTTGAAAAAAAAAAAAAAAACGAAAAAAAAAACAAATTATATTTTACTTTGAGAATTTCTTGAAGTTCTGCTAATGCATTTTTGTATGGTTCCACTAATGCTTTGTAGTCTGACTTTCTCAGCTTCATTTCTGACACACTAGTCTTCCCTGCCTCTTTAATCATCTTCTTGAAATGGAAAATCTGAAAATATGAGGAAGCATGAGAAATAATATTTACATTGCAATGGATAGGTATTCAACAGAACAAGCAGTCTTCTTTTGGCAGCCTTTATCTAAAACAACTGAACAATTTTATGGCCATTTTCAAAATCAAAGGTGGAGAAGATTAAATAAGGAGACCAATATAATATAGGCTAATAGAATTAAGAAAAACATCAAAATTTCAACAGAAGAGAAATATGAGAAAAATATCCAAAAAATTTGAAAAAGAGAATATATATATATATATATTAAATATTCGAACAACCATTGATATCAATTTACCACCTACATTACAACCTACCTCCTTCTTTTCACACAGGGAGACAGCTGTTCCCACTTTCCCAGCTCTGGCAGTCCTCCCTACCCTGTGGATATATGTCTTTATATATGGTGGAGAGTCATAGGACAGCACATACTGGACATTGTCCACATCCATACCTCTGGCCATGGCATCAGAGCAAACCAAGCTGTCAATAATGGTTCAAATATGTTAATTCTGTGTCCTAAAGACTCATACTTTGTTTTATGTGTGTTTATATTATGTGTGTTTGTGTGCGTGTGTGCGTACATATACCCGGCAAGCGTGTGTGCATATCTGCACACATCCATCTATGTAAGCTACTCTAAGAATTATTCAAGACATCAAACCAATAGTTTTAATGTTTTACCTCTGTTGCCAACACGGCAGAAATTATATATATATATAATCATTTCCACAACATTCTTATGTTTATTCAGATTGTGTTAGATGAGAAACTGCTAACACTGCTCAATAAGGTAAAATGTGTTCAATTATTCATATGGTCAGCTGAATAAAAGGCGATGTCGCATGTGATCTGCGTGGTCATTTATTACTTACTGGCAGAGTGCAGGTATGGTCTGATATTCCATGTAGCTTGTGTAAAATTTATACATTTAATATAGTGAAATTTAGATTTCACTTTATATGGAAGTATATTGTGTAATAAACATAAGTTTACAAGTTTTTCATAATCATAATCAGTAATGTAGGCTATGGGCATTGTGTTTATCAAAGTGTATGTTGGTATGGGTGTAGCATTTTCATGAACAACATGTACATGTATTTTTACGTTATTAATAAATTACAGTAACAGCTCAGATTGTCATGACCATCTCTGGGCAGCCAGTTGGCAGCAGAGAATGAGTACGGATATTGTTTTAGTGTAAGTGTTTGAAATTAAATAATTAGTGAAGTAAACTTACACATTTGTAAAGATTGTGTTTTTTTTAAGATCACATAAATTTTAGTTATTTAGTATATTTAGTTTATCTCGATATTTCACTGTATTGTTATTAATTTTTTTCTTTTTATAGTTTTCACCAGTTTCTGTTCAGTTCTAATTCAGTTCTGTTCAGTTGAATTCGGCTGGGAACAGTTCATTCTGTGTGAATAAACGACAGTCATATCCAACTATGTTTCTTCGTTTTTACTCGTGGTCCGCTACAACTTCCATCATAAATCAAATTATTCTCTAATACNAAATATTCGAACAACCATTGATATCAATTTACCACCTACATTACAACCTACCTCCTTCTTTTCACACAGGGAGACAGCTGTTCCCACTTTCCCAGCTCTGGCAGTCCTCCCTACCCTGTGGATATATGTCTTTATATATGGTGGAGAGTCATAGGACAGCACATACTGGACATTGTCCACATCCATACCTCTGGCCATGGCATCAGAGCAAACCAAGCTGTCAATAATGGTTCAAATATGTTAATTCTGTGTCCTAAAGACTCATACTTTGTTTTATGTGTGTTTATATTATGTGTGTTTGTGTGCGTGTGTGCGTACATATACCCGGCAAGCGTGTGTGCATATCTGCACACATCCATCTATGTAAGCTACTCTAAGAATTATTCAAGACATCAAACCAATAGTTTTAATGTTTTACCTCTGTTGCCAACACGGCAGAAATTATATATATATATAATCATTTCCACAACATTCTTATGTTTATTCAGATTGTGTTAGATGAGAAACTGCTAACACTGCTCAATAAGGTAAAATGTGTTCAATTATTCATATGGTCAGCTGAATAAAAGGCGATGTCGCATGTGATCTGCGTGGTCATTTATTACTTACTGGCAGAGTGCAGGTATGGTCTGATATTCCATGTAGCTTGTGTAAAATTTATACATTTAATATAGTGAAATTTAGATTTCACTTTATATGGAAGTATATTGTGTAATAAACATAAGTTTACAAGTTTTTCATAATCATAATCAGTAATGTAGGCTATGGGCATTGTGTTTATCAAAGTGTATGTTGGTATGGGTGTAGCATTTTCATGAACAACATGTACATGTATTTTTACGTTATTAATAAATTACAGTAACAGCTCAGATTGTCATGACCATCTCTGGGCAGCCAGTTGGCAGCAGAGAATGAGTACGGATATTGTTTTAGTGTAAGTGTTTGAAATTAAATAATTAGTGAAGTAAACTTACACATTTGTAAAGATTGTGTTTTTTTTAAGATCACATAAATTTTAGTTATTTAGTATATTTAGTTTATCTCGATATTTCACTGTATTGTTATTAATTTTTTTCTTTTTATAGTTTTCACCAGTTTCTGTTCAGTTCTAATTCAGTTCTGTTCAGTTGAATTCGGCTGGGAACAGTTCATTCTGTGTGAATAAACGACAGTCATATCCAACTATGTTTCTTCGTTTTTACTCGTGGTCCGCTACAACTTCCATCATAAATCAAATTATTCTCTAATACTCACAGATCAATTTTCCCAGCTGCAAACTGTTTGAGGATGCGATTTCTCTTGATGGCATGCAAACTAGAGGAGAATTCTCGCACTTCTAGACCACCTACAAGTTTGACAAGTAGAAACAATCTGAAAAAAAAATTAAATTCACCTTAATGCAATACATTTATTTTGCTAAAAAGGTAAATAAAATACTTACACATAATAGAACCTTGTGTTATTCTGGAGTGTGCATGTTAAAAGCAAGAGAGTACACACTGGTTAACTGGGCTTAACTTTATGCCATTTTTGTCTATGAGTTGTTTACAATGTATTTATAGTGAAATATCTCATACGAAGAGTTGTTATCCCTTTAATAAAACAGTATTCAAAATTGATTTCTTCGGAGTCTTTTTACACTTTTGTTACAATGCATGTGTCAATTCAATGCTCTCTGACAGACTGATACCTGTGAGTGGCCTCTACTGAGTTGGTAAAGCACAGGACATGTCTGAACTTCAAATGGTGCATCAAGTGGAGAACAACAAGTGGTTTGTCTTGAGCTGCCACCTGGATGAAATATTCCTATAAAACAGAAAGTATATAGCTCAACAGATACCAAGAAACTTTCTATGCACTCATTCAGCATCTTTTCCAAGACCATAACATGACTGAAACCTCAGCAATTAAAACAAATATACTTGAAAATAATAACTCTAACTAAGCTTAAATCATTTTCTCTATATACAGGAAAAGAGGTCATTTCCTAAATTGCACCCTTAAAATTGGGGCAGAATATTGTAATATTAACTTTCATTTATACTCAGTAAAGGAGAATAAAAAGGTTATGAACTAACACTTAATCCAACAGGTGTAGTGTATTTTCCAACAAAGCCACCTTCTATCCTTGCCAGTCCATCTTCCTCTCCTGTTTTCTCTAAAATATAAAAACATTCACATGCTTACATGTAAGCACATGTAAATAACTTTCTATTTGTGGCAATGCAAGGCAGGTTTTAATGAGCTAAAAATTATGTTGCTTCATTTTCCTGTTAAAAATAGAAATAGGTAACTAAGATGCACAACAGAAATTCATGCAAATGTTTAAAATATAATAAAATAAACTTGATACATATGGCGTGACAAGCTTTCATGTTATTGGGCAGAGAAAAAAATAAAAGGAGAGTGAAAATCAAGGTTTAGCATAAAAGTAACACAAATGTATTATAAGTATCTGTACTGTCACCTGATGTCAAATTAACTGATTCAATTTCCACCCGTTCTTTTAAACCTGCAGTAAACAGCTTTGGTTGAAACAAATTAAGTTGCTGGAGTTTCTCTGGGTTCTGAGAAAGTGTGGCTGAGAACAAAAGCTTGTGTAGCTGTGGAAAGAAAGAAAAACTACTGATTTTCTTCACATAAAAAAGCTGGCATATGGTCTTGATTATTGCAATCTGTGATTAACAATTCATTATTAAAATATCTTTTTATTTTACATATAAATGATTAAATGAAAAAAATTGTATTGATTAAAACAAATCAAGCAATAGAATATTCAAGTTGTGAGATTCAAAAGATTCTACAGTTGATACTTCAAAATCAATATACTTACTGGCATATCTAGTCTACTGGCACTAAAATGAATAATTTAATGTTATGAGTTTTAAACAAATCATGCAAAATATTCTAAGAAAGAAAAACTAAAACTGATGTTCTACTAAGGCTGAAAAACGTCAAATAATTCACAGATTTTCAAGATATAAACAAACTGGAACAATATTGACACAATTGTTTTACCAAATATTTTTGAAAAACTTTTAAAGCTTTAAGTGACAATTCCTGTATTATCTTGAACTCTATACCATTAACATACTTTATGGTTTCTATGGGTAGCCATAGCATAGCCCTACACTTTTCCACATTGTAAAGAGTAGCATACCCTCAGGGACCCCATTCCCTCGATATTTATGACAATGCCTGGGTCCTATATACATAAAATTGTTGCAAACGATCTTCATAATAGCAGCTTAAAAAATATTGTTGAAAAAATGCTTGATGTAAAGAGAATCACCCCACACACGCACATAAATTATGACTGACCCATCCTTATTCCTAATGATAAGTGTATCAATCCCAAAAAGTTTTAACTTCCTTGCTATAATGACCTGGGAGGAGTTAGCAGAAATAACAATGTGAAAAGAATAAAGAATCAACCACCCCAGGGAAAGCCCAACCCCGTGTTGCACTATAATTCAGAAGTGCCAATGCATATCCCTGATGAAAGATCTATCAATCCCCAAAGTTTCAACTAACTAACTTTAATGGCCAAGGAAGAAATAATGGAAA